GAGCTAACGCTCAACAAGTACAAGCTAATAACTCACATAAAATAACATAAGTAGTTTCATACATAGATGTTTTATTAAACATGTAAATCTTGTCTTGAAAACCATCAATGGGTCATGCGTACGTACCTTGCGTGCAACCAATTGGCGACTGGGGGGAGCGACCCTAACCAAGTTAGCCCATGACATCATAACGTCTCGGTACATAATATGAACATGGAGAGACCTTGGTCTCGATGCGATGCTTAAAAACATCTTTTTTTTTATGCCTTGTATTAAAATCATGACAAAAAAGCATGTCACATCAAATGAACTTAAAAGTTAAGTGACATAATTGAATAACATAGATAGCCATAAACAAGTACATAACATCATCAAAAATTTTCATAGTATATTAATACACATCATTATAGAAATACTTTATGCTTGTGTTGTAGGTGAGTACTTGTAATTAACTTTTTTGAAGAAACCTACTGTTGTACAAAATAAGGATTGGGATCATCAATTCTACAATGTGCGTGATCTTGTTATTACATTCACCATAGTTAATTTTGAGCCTTTTCTTCTGAGGCACATACTTGTCTAAAATCATGTGTGTCGGGTCTATGGACCGATTACGGCCTATGGAATAATTTCGTTCTCGCAAGTTTAGATAAATGGTGAAAGTTAACTGTTGGACTTCCACCATCTGGATTAGAATTTTCATAGAGCAAGTGTTGGGTTCAACTTCTTAAAGGGACTATTTAGTAAACAATCTCTAAGCTCAACTTATAACAAGAAGTTTAAGAAATTGATAGATTCACGTAACTAGTTCAATTAGAAACTATTTATTAATAATTACTGGCTTTAATCCCATCACAAAACATCTTACATTTAGGCTGGTCATATATCTAAATCATACCAACACAGTAAAACCAAAATATAACATTCAATGCTCAAAATCATAATGTACATATCGGCTTTAGTCATCTCCCATTATAAATCTACCTAACAATTAATTTCTAAAGACCATCATTGCATAAGCATCTTGACTATAGCAAGCTGTAAAATCTCACAAAACTTGCCCTAAGTCTCGAGTACAACAAAATTACAAAAGTTGGCTTTTTAGCACCAACTCTGTCATTTGGGCAGATTCGACATATGTTACGAGAAAATTTATAATAAATTGTAAGAAATTCCAAAACTTACAAAACTACTGCCAAATCAAATTAGACTCATGGGGATTTTTTTGGAGCTATTATGTGCTAGGTTTTGAAATTCAATAGAGTCATCAAAATCAGCCTGAAATCCAAACAAAAATTTACGTCAAGAATTTGATAGCTTTTTGCATGAACTTGTAAAAATCATAACTAATTCTAAAAAAATCTCTTTTTCTGTGGTTCTTGAATGCCCTTAGGGTGTGTTTGGTTGGGTGGAAAGGAATGGAATAAAATTTTAGTTTGATGTTTGGTTGGATTTATAAGAAATGAATGATCATTCAAAAGAAATGGTCATTCACCTATTTTAGGTGAATCATCATTCCTTCCTCATATGGGAGGAACGACCATTCTAAGTTCTTTTTTTTATTTATTTTTTCATAATTACCCTTCAATATTATAATATAATTAAAATATATTATATAGTAGTTATATCTTATAATATAATATAAAAATGAGAGCTACATCCACTGTAATTTTGTATATCTTTGTTGGAAGATCACAACTTACAATCATAATTCTTACTAAATCTGTCTTTTTTTAGTCATTTTTCCGAACCCCTTCCTTACTGGGGTCTTCCTCTTTTTATATTGGGCTTCCTTCGCTTAGGGGGTTTCCTTCATAGGTAGAAGCACTCAAGTGCTCTCCTTTGGTAGGCCCAAACGTAGCCCACTAATCAGCACTGTTCACTCAGCCAATTAGTCTCCTATCACGGCTCTGTGCTTCCCCGTAATACTTTTCTGTCCCCTGTGGGAGCGGTCTGACAGCTTACAATTAATGCCTGCAGACCTCCTTCACTTCTGCACGTAACCCGTTACGTCCTCTAAAGGACGTTCCCCTCGTCGTCATCACTGCTTAGCCCAACCGCCTTCTTCGGTGGCCCTTTCTGCGGTCGAGAGATCTTCATCCCTTAGTGTCGACGGCGCAATCAGTCGACGCCATAAGGGATCGTCGTCCTAACTTGGATTTCGTCCTTGGGCCTTCACAGCGAAATAAGAGGGGTCCGTAAGCGTCGAAGGTTCCTTGCTTGGTGGGGATTTAGTTAAGACCACGTGTCGCGGTCTACTTCGTCCACGTGTCCGTCACATTTTCTCACACAACAATATTGAAGAGAAAACACAAGAAATTCGTGTTAGTTGCTGCTCATAGAAGAAAATATCTTAGGAAAATGATTGACAGAGCTACCTTATCAAAACCCAACTCTATGTTAAAGAAGCTTTACCTTCTTCTCGGATTCTATTTTGACAGCAACTTTGGAAGGATTTTTGGGCTACCAAACGTATTTAAAACAAAGGGAAAAGCAAGAGTTTGCTTCCTCTATGGATTAGGAAGAGAAAGGATGGAGAAATTTCAAGTTTGGAGGTGTTGAAGGTGGTTTTCTTGTAAGGGGTTGAGGCAGTTGCGGGAATAGTTGAGGAGAGTGAGAGAGATGAAAGAGAGGTTTTTAGTTGATATCATATTTTCTCTCTTTCTTTCTTTATTTTTTGTTGGTTAAGCTAAAATCTTATTAGTTGTTATGGGTGGTGAACTCTTACAACTAATAGAAACTTTTAAAAATTTATCATTTCTTCTATTTCTGACCTCAAATATTTTAAAAATCATGCTTTGAACCCCATATTTTAAAAAAGAATTATGTCTTGAGTTCCATATTTGTTAAAATTATAAATTTAGCCTCGAAATTAGATTTTTATAAAAGTTTCTTCCTTAACTAATTTCAATATTCTGATTAAGAATTCAATGCAAAAAATTTCATTCAAAATTTTATTTCGTTAGTCTACACCATCTCTCATGTAAAAATAATTTATACTACTATTTTTATATTAATCTCGTACCATAATAGTGTTTCATGATTTTTACTATAATATTTAAAAATTTAAGGGCCTGTTCTTTTGAGTGAAAAACTCAAAAAAAGGCAACTCGAGTTACAACTTTATTCGAGTTCATGTTCTTTTAAGTTTAAACTCGAGTTTAGGACTAAAACTCAAGTTCAAGTTTTCCCTTCAACTCGAGTTCAGAAACTCGAACTCAAATTAATGAACAATATTTTTTCTATTCTTAAAAATGCTATAACTTTTTCGTTTTAATTCTGATTGAGATGATTTTTTTTCTATGCGTTGACAACGAAAAGACGAATAAAACCCGACTCATATACCCTATTAAAATTTTTCATCAGCATTGACTTTTTATTAAAATACTATCTAAATACAAATTCAAGTTTTGACTCACTCAAATACAAACTCAAAAAGATTATTATCACAAACTATAACTCAAATGTACACAACCAAACACAAACTCAAGTTACAAGTTCAACTCAAGTTATAACTCAAATTCAACTCAAAAATTATATTCAAATTAAACTCTAAAAAAAAAGACCTAAATAACTTGTAATTTCTCAAATCTAAACTAAAATAAACGACATATAAAAATATTTAAAAAAACGACTACTTATCGAAAGGAGAAAAACAAATTGGCCGTTCACCAACCCAACCAAATGAACATGTAATCAAACGGATTGACGACAAATGTCAAATCATCTTTCTTTTTTTTATTTTTTTATTTCAGTGTTTTTTTCTTTGCTGAGTGTTTTATTTCTTATTTTGATCACTTAAAAAATTAATTTGATGAAATTTCAGGGTCCGTTTAGTTCGCTAATTTAAGTTTTTAATTCAAGTTGAGATGTGATTTTATGTGAGAGCTTTTTACTGTAGAAAAAAAGTTAGATTTGATTGTTTGTGAAAGCTTTTTACTGTAGCAAAACTCAAATTTTAAACTCGAATCAGCGAAATAAACGGGCCTCAGTTTGTAAATTTTCTACTAACATAAACACGATAATGGCCCCTCGCAACCATACATAGACTATTCCCTTTTTCTTTTCTTTTCTTTTCCCATTTGCTTACTAAAAGGAAAAAAAAAAAATTAGAAGGAATGTCTAGAGCTCCAATTGGGCAAACTCTCCGTGGTATGTAAAATTTTCCTCAATCATTAAGGACTTATTCATTTGCACCTAAACTCAAAAAAATTAAACTCAAATTATAACTTTATTTAAGTTCCGTTCTTTTATAAAATTTAAGTTTTAATTTGAGTTTAGAGTTAAAATATGAGTTTAAGTTTTTCCTTCAACTTAAGTTTCTAAACTCAAACTCAAGTTAATGAACAATATTTTTTCAATTCTTAAAAATGCTATAACTTTTTCGTTTTAATTCTGATTGAAATGATTCTTTTTTTTATGCGTTCACAACGAAAAGACGAATAAAACTCCACTCATATACCCTATTAAAATTTTCTTTCATCATTAAGTTTTTATTAAAATACTATCTAAATACAAACTTAAATTTTGATCTACCTAAACACAAACTTAAAAAAATTATAATATAAAACCATAACTCAAATGTACATAACCAAACACAAACTCAAATTATAATTTAAATTTAACTCAAAATTTATATTTAAATCATCATAATTTAAAAAGACAACTGAACAAGCTCTGAATCTTTTCTTATCCATAATCTACTTTTGAGGGGATATGATCTTAAAGGACATTTTGACTCCTCGGGATATATTGATAAGCTTCCATGTGTAGTGTGTTTTTTTCTTTTCCCCTCGAAAATAAGCTTTTAGATATGTACAACAAAACTAACATTATTAATCTGTTTTATTCCCTATAGTATATGACATAATTAGGACTCATAAAAAATTATTTCTGCTTTGCATAAAAGATTCGTTGCAAGTAGGACCTCACACCACGCGTCTACGCATCCTCTGTCCAATCAAAAATTTCCACTCTATACTCAATAAATACCAACTCTCGCTCTCTCTCTCTTTCTCTGTGGAACTCTCTAATTAAACAAAACATTATTCTGTGTGCTTTCCAAATCCATCAAGATAATAATACCAGGTGCTCCAATGGCCCCGAGCCACCCTCTCTAAATCCTCGCCTTTATCTCCTCCAATCAACGCTTTCATCTGATCCAAATTAATCTCTTCTTATTTCCCAACTCCCCCTTGTTTATGGATTCCATTGAAATCAGTTTCTCCGCCGTCTTATCCTGGATTCCCTTTAATATTATGAGTAATACATCTATGTTTGAAGTTTGAATTGAGAGACGAAAATGGAGGAGAGTCAGAGTTATCAGGGTGCAGAGAGGCATGTGGTGTTTGGGAAGTATGAAACCGGGAAGTTACTGGGGAAAGGGACCTTCGCGAAGGTCTACTACGGGAAAGAAATGGCGTCCGGAGATAGCGTGGCGATAAAGGTGATAAACAAGGACCAGGTGAAGAAAGAAGGAATGATGGATCAGATCCAGAGAGAGATTTCGGTGATGAGAATGGTTCGTCACCCGAATGTGGTGGAGCTCAAGGAGGTTATGGCGACGAAGACGAAGATCTTCTTCGTGATGGAGTACGTCCGCGGCGGAGAGCTCTTCGCCAAGGTCGCGAGTGGGAAACTGAAGGAAGATCAGGCCCGGAGGTACTTTCAGCAGCTGATCTCCGCCGTCGATTTCTGTCACAGCAGAGGCGTCTCCCACCGAGATTTGAAGCCGGAGAATCTCCTTCTCGACGAGAACGAGGATCTCAAGATCTCCGACTTCGGCCTCTCCGCCCTCCCCGAGCAGCTCCGCCACGACGGACTCCTCCACACCCAGTGTGGGACCCCTGCTTACGTCGCACCGGAGGTCCTCCGCAAAAAGGGCTACGACGGCTCCAAGGCCGATATCTGGTCGTGCGGCGTGATATTGTTCGTGCTTCTCGCCGGATTTCTCCCCTTTCGCGAGGAGAATCTGATGAAGATGTATCGCAAGATCTTCAAGGCCGAGTTCGAGTGCCCAAAGTGGTTCACCGCCGAATCGAAGCGGCTAATCTGCAAATTGCTCGTCCCCGATCCCGACCGGAGGATCACAATCCAGGCGATCATGCGCGTACCCTGGTTCTGCAAGGGATTCTCGAGGCCTCCATCGTTTTCGATCCCCGAGTTACCTCCGGCCTCCGAAGACGTCGCCGGCGATAAAACGGCGTCGTCTCCAAAATTCTTCAACGCGTTCGAGCTGATCTCGTCGATGTCATCCGGGTTCGACCTGTCGAGCCTGTTCGAGAGCAAGAAGAAGGCAGCGTCGATGTTCACGTCGAGGTGCACGGCGAGCGCGGTCATGGCGAAGCTGGAGAGCATGGCGAAGGGGCTGAGGTTTAGGGTGGTGAGGATGAAGGATTTTCAGGTGAGGCTGCAGGGGAGGTCGGAGGGGAGAAAGGGGAGGTTGTCGGTGACGGCGGAGGTTTTCGAGGTGGCACCGGAGATCTCCGTCGTGAAGTTCTCGAAGTCGGCCGGCGACACCTTGGAGTACGCCAAGTTCTGCGACGAGGACGTGAGGCCGGCGTTGAAGGACATCGTTTGGACGTGGCAAGGTGACCATGTTGACTGCAATAAGTCAAAAGTAGTACTGGGCGGCGAAGAATGTTAAAAAACCGCAACGAACGTCGCCGTCTTTACGGGGAAAGGAACGAAAGGATCGAAACTAATCGTAGTTTGGGTTCTCAATCGGTTTTTACTTTGATGTAATTTTTGTTTTGGTATCGGGGGGTAAATATTTGGTTACGTGCGATTTTGTATATAATATGATAGTCTGGACTCTGGGATTAGGATGTTTTAAAAATCGGATGGAACAGTTTTGAGCTGTTTGGGATGTTTTTACTAACGCATGAGTTTAAAAGTTAAGACTGCTTTGTTGTAGGCTCAGTTCATTTCGCTTATTCGAGTTTAGAATTTGAGTTTTATTACAATAAAAAGTTCTCAAAAATAATTACATTTAATTTTTTTATTACAGTAAAAAATTCTCATATAATATCACATCTCAACTCAAATTAAAAACTTAAATTAACAAACTGAACGGACAGATTTAGTTTTACTTTTATGGGGCTCGGTGATTAGACCGATGAGCCAAATTATAGGTTATGTTTGATTCGTAAATTTAAAATTATGATTTATAATTTTAATTTTTAAAATTTAAATTTTTTATTAAAAAAATATTATTATAAAATTAAAAATTATGATATTAAATTATATAAAATTCTTAAAATAAATGTCACTTAAAAACGCGTTACTGTGATCAGTAGCCACTGAGTGACCTCAAAAATATCTCATTAGTAGGAAATATATCTGTCTATAGAAAAGTCAATGACCCGTTAATCTGATTTCGTTTCAGATTTTAATAGTTTGCGAGTGAAGAGTGAATAGTATGGGAGAAATCCAATGACACTGTTTGTTACTACGTCATTTTTTTATAAAATAAATGTCATCAAAAAAATTTTTAAAAATATCATTAATAAAATAATATAATTTTATTTATTATTCTTGTTAAATTTATCTTTTATTATTAATACTGTCTAAGCTATTTTTTATAATTTACAGATTATTTTTTTGCATTCTGTATTTTGTAGATTATTTTTCATAATAGTATTAAAATTTTCTATAGGAACATAAATAATAAAATTAAAAAAAATAATAGTTAAACTTAAAATTTTTTTAAATAAATAAAATAATATATAATATATATTCATCAACAAGATTAAGGAGATGTTTAGTAAAGGAATTCATATCATGATTTGAATCATGATTCATAATTTATTACAGTATTTTTTATCATAAAAAATATACATAAATTAAAAATAATTATAATTCATGAACCAAACAATTTTTTAAGTGTATACGTTAAGCACTGCTTCGTGGTGTAGACTCTAGCTGCCTTCCCTCTCAAAAAAATGCTTCCCTTCTCTAGCGCCGCCTCTTTCCAACAATTTGGTGGGGCCGAGTCCAGTACCTCATGCGGGTGGTTCACCGGACTCCTAGTCATAGATGTTTGTTTCTCAATCGTGCGGTGGATTTACCGTTGCTGATGGTGGTGGGTGAGATGGCTTGCGCAGAGCTCTGGGTCTCGTTTGGGATGCGTTTCATTGCTGCTAAAGTCGTCCTCTTTAGGATCATCAGTATTCCGACAGGTCTTTAGCTCTGAGGTTTTCGTCCCCTAGACGTTGCAGTTCTTCTGGATGGGCACATAGCGTGGGCGGTGGGCGGCATTGCTTTTGCTTTTCTGCCAAATTCGTTCGTCATTCATGTGATTAGGGACTTGTTTTTGCTAATTTTAATTTTTATGTTTGTCTAATGATGGCGTGGTCGATTTTGTTGCTGGAGCGTCTTCATCATGTGTTTGGTTATGTTTATGGTTTTGTTGTGTATTAAGTTAACAACGGTGGTTTCCCAATCCTTCCATGTAGGATGTTTGTGTAGTGTTGTACGTGGCATTAATACTTTAAGCCTCTTGATCTCAATTATTGAGCCTTTTTATGGATCATAGTGGTTCGTTGGAAAAGTCATTTTATGTGTTCGATAATTACGTGCATATTTTGTTTTCTGATTTCAAAACCGTGTTCGATAATTACGTGCATATTTTGTTTTCTGATTTCACCTCAGATGTGATTTGAATCTTTAAACGTTTCATTCGAATTTATTAGAATTATCAGTTAGTACCCGCGATCAAGATTTCATGTATTTTAATGTCATTTGAGTTAGTATTAGTGTTCGTATTTCTTTGATTTTTAACATAATTTTTTCTCCTAAAATAAAACTGCATACATAAGTTTATCTAGTAGGGCTTTCCTATTGATAGAGTATGTTTTTGACCGTTAAATCTTATTAAAAATCATATCAGATTAAAAAAAATATGTAAAACAGACAGTTTTTAATACATATTCAACAGTCAACAATAGAAAACTATTAATAATTTATTTTTTCTAATCCCATCAAAGAAATTCCTACATATGTTTATATATATATATATATATATATATATATATCCCATTTCCATCAAGTACATGCAAATGAATAAGGTTGCACAGGGATTTAATAGATATGAAGACAGGAACATGAATAGTGATAACCTTCCACATACTTCTTTCGTCTCTGTCCACTAAAAAATGTGGAGTTTAGTGATGTATGGAAAAAAGTCATTGCCCATAGCGGTGGATTTTGGTCTTAAAGTTCTGGCGGAAATAAGGAAGAGTGAATGAGTGCGTTTGGTGGTGCTTGTTAGAGCCTAAAATAACTTCTCTAACGATGAGAAGCTAATAATAATGTTTAATAAAAATTAATTTTAAAGAGTTTTTAAAGAATTTACAGTTAAAATCAGTAGCAGCATAATTATAATTTTGACTTTTAAATCAACATAGTATAATTAATGATTATTAATAAAGTTATATTAAATAATTAATTATTAATTACTAATTATATTATATTATATATTAATTAATAATTAATAAATAGATATACTTAATAACTAATAAATAGACAGTAATTACTTAATTATTAATTAAATATTAATTTATTACTATTAAGCTTTTAATTTTGTTAATAAAATAATAAATGATATAGTAATTATTTATTTAGTTAAAGATTAAAATTCAAAAATTAATTATATAACATATTAACAATAAAAAAAGTAATAATAGGTTATTAAATAAATAATTAATATATCGATCATATATTTTGTTAATTATAATCGATTAATTAGTAGATAGTTAGTAAATAAAAATAAATAGTAATCAATCAATTAATAATTAATATCAAATTATAATTATCAATATGTAATATATTAATTAATAATAATTACTAATTGTTTAATTAATGATAATTTATTCATTATTATTATATTATTAATATATTAATTTTTATTTGCTAAATAATTATTAATTATTAATTACTTTATATATGAATTTAATATTATTAATTACGGTAATCTTAACTACTTACAACAATTCAACCTCACAATTTACCAAACGTCATTATACTACTTTTAGAACAAGCAACACTTGTATGATTATAGTTTACCAAACGTCATTACACTACTTTTAGAACAAGCAACACTTGTATGATTATAGTTTACCAAACACTCAGTTGTTTTTTATAACAGTTTTTTTTTTCAGCATAGCTAAAAGTAATTTTTTCATAATTTACAGTACTACCAAACTAGCTGAATATCTATTTAATTCCTTGACGAATGAAAATTGGCCACAAAACATTTGAAAGCGTGACGAATTGAGACAATGTGACCTAGCAGAAAATAAACATCTGACAGTCTTGTATCCCTAATGCCTTCAGTGCTTCACAAAAAGAAAAGAATAAAATAAAACAAAATAAAAGGGGAAGAAAATGACCCAAGTCGATAAACTGGTTGTTGGAAAAAGCGTATGGCAACTAGACAGAACTTCAGTAGTTTGCTTTATTTTTCAACGTTATCTATCCGCATTTTTCAGAAGAGAATGGGCGAGAAGCCTCCAGGTAGTATTATTCGTGTTGTGTTAGACTAGAGCTACTTGGGTTTTGATTCAGCTTTGCGATAAGAAAATGTCAAATAATCAAGTAATGATCATTGTTATTATGACAAAATAGAACACAAAAAGTCTGAAGCTTGAATTCTTTGATCCTAAATTTTTAAAAATAATCACAGTTTGACCGTTTAGATAGGATAGAGTTTGCGGAACATTGCGGGCGGTTCGATGGATGATGATTTAAAAAGTCAAAACAAATTTGGAAAGAGTGTTTTATTATCTGTCCTTATTTGTAGTTTCCATAGATGTAAGCATTAAACTAGCCATTTGACCATTTGAGATTAACCATTTCAAACTCTAGCAATCATTCTCATTATCCTTCTGCGCTTTTGAATTTGAGTGGTATTTGGAGTAGACGACCTGAAGATTTTGATCCTATCATAATGAAATGAGATATGCAAGTTAATTCACGGTAACGAGTTCATTTTGATTTTACTACTAATACGGCAATACCCTTTATATACAACAAATAACATTTCTCAATATATATATATATAAGAAAAAATTTGCTTTGCTTGATATTATTCAAGGTTTCTAGTTAGGCAGCGTAAGCCTTCAGTGACATGCCTTGTCATGAATTCAGACGTTGACATTTCATGAAGCTCAGAATCATAAGTCAAGAAAACAAACAAAAAAAACAAAACTAGATTTTAGCCTCTTCTGAAAGAAACTTCATACCACACACTTAAAAGGATACTAAACGAAATCCTATCCACTTTTTTTTTTCTTTCCTTTTTCGCAGAAGAAAAAAAAAATATATATATATATATTTTAAAAATCTCAAAATATACGGTGTCATCAGGCCTCGCATTTTCGTCATTTTAAAAATCTCAAAATCTACTAATTAATAAAATGAAAATAACCTAACTCAATTTACTCGAAGATAAACTCAAGTATCACTTGTGTTACTAAACACCTAAAACCGCACAATTACATTCATCGTATAGAGATCCTAAAATAGATTGTGAAGTATTGAACCTCGGATGATCATTACCGTATATTTTTTAACGGTGAATTAGCGGCACCTGTCAATGCCGACTGGAAATTTGATTCCAGAGTGTGAAGAAAAGGAGAGGCTAAAACTAAAAGCCAAAAAGTACTTCTATGCATAATGTGTTATTATCTCATCTGACTAAAATTTGTGGGATATCTAATGCAGGCTTATGAAAGAAACCCAACTGGCTTCATCGACAATTTTGCCACATGATAAAAACTTTGTGCATTGCAGTTAGCACTTTCGCTGTCGGCAAAAATCATGAATGAATGAATGAATCGAATTGTGTCACTCACTATATATGTTAACAAGTGTGTTTTTTTTTTTTTTTTTTTTTTTTTTTTTTTTTTTTTTCTTTTGTG